AATATGAATTATGAGCACAATGATGAAATGAAACTTTACATTCAAAAACTTAACATTTAATGAGGCACTCATAAGTAAAAGAAGCTGTGGAGGATAATTACCCAACCAAATTCTTTGTTAGCCAGAGTTTTAAAAGGTAGGTATTTCCCTAAGGCTCCGTTTGTTTTGAGGGATTTGAAATCCTTTTATTTCAAAATTTTTGAAATATAATTTTTTTTTACTTGCACACTCCTTGAATGGATGTGTTGAAAAGATTATAAATCAATTGTCTAGCTCACACCGATGATGTTGACTCGCGGTGGTGATGAACCTAAATGATCGCGGACGGCGTGGTCATCAACGGTGATAAACAGTGGATTTCAAATGACTAGATTTGAGGAGTCATTTAAAATCCTTCAAAATAATGACTAAAAAACATCTAGCATGAATTTGAAATCCTCCAACATCCATTAACATCCCAACATGCATGAGAAGTTGAACTTGTAAATTTGATATATCATTTCAAATCTCTCAGTAAATCCTTCAATCCATACTTAGCCTAAATGTAATCTATTTNGATTCTTGGCTTTGGAAGAGTTGGCTTGGGGTGAGGGAAACATTGAAAAGAGGGGTTAGATTCAGGATGGAGATGGTAATAGCATTGATATCTGGAAAGACCCTTGGGTACTTAACTTGCCTTCTTTTAGCCCCAGTTGTAGGTTTGAGAGTGATAGACTGAGATTGCAGAAGGTTAGTGATTTATTTGTGGCTGGGTAAAGAGAGTGGGATAGAGAATTGGTTAGACAAATTCCTTATGAAGCTGAGACAATCCTCAAAATTCATCTTGGCTTTTCGCAGGCAAAGGACAGGCTGACATGGATCTTCAATAAGAATGGAAATTTCTCAGTTAAATCAGCATATGAGGAATTCCATTTTTATCTAGCAAAGGTCCAATAACAAGCTGGAACTAGTGCTATTAACAGCACTATCAAAAGTGGAACAAATCATGGAACTACCCCTGCAACCAAAGCTGAGAAACTTCATGTGGAGAGTCTACAAAGGTGGATACCATATGCACAATCTGTGGGGAGGAGGAGGAAGACATAGAGCACTTGTCTGTCCACTGTCCTAAGGTAGCAAATTGTTGGAAGATCCTAGGTGTCCATTGGGCTGCTCTACATGAAAGAAACATAAGAGGTTGGTGGGAGGAGGTATGTGCAAGCAGGCTCCACAAAAGATTAACAGACATAATTACTTTGTCTGTGTGTTTACTTCGGAGAATTTGGGAAGGGAGGAATAATGTGTGTTTCAGAAAAGAAAATTTTCAAGAACTCCGTATGGTAGAGGAAGCAAGAAGAGACTGGATGGAGGCAACTCCTGAGGCAGAATCTAAAATGGAGATCTCAAACACATCTCTAATACATGCTGAACTAAAAGAAGAGAATTTTTCCTTGGAAGTAGGGTATGTTTCTTTACATACCAGTGCTCTACTCTCTTCTTCAAGGAAAGTGGGTGTGGGAGGAGTGGCTACTCGGGGAGGAGAGGTATTGAGAGAATGGCCGTGTATTTGGGCCTGGGCTGAGGATCTGATGGATGCATCTTTGTAGGCAATCAGATGGATACTGATAAAAGCTCAAGCAGAAGGTTTGGAGGAGGTGAGCTGCAGTGTGGAATCAGAGGAAGTTTGGCATGGTGTGATGGGCAATATTCCTTCTAAAGGTTCTGTTGTGATCTGGGAGGATATTTGTAATCTTAAAACTAAGTTTTCTTCTTGTGTTTTCTTGTTTGCTAGTTCCTCTTGTATTCTTTCTTCTAGGTTAGCCTCGATGGCTTTGGAGAGTGGCTTTGATATTCCACACTTCTCCAAAGCTTTGATATTCCACACTCGTTATTCCTAATCCTGTTGATGATAGGAGAAGGTGTTATGTAACAAGTCGATTAACAGTTGTACTATTTGAGCNTATACACCTCATTAAACTTAAATACTTAAATACGATTTGTTCGTCTTTGTTCATAATTTTTTTTACAAAATTTTTTTATTACACAAGCACACAATATAAATATAAATTGTAAAAGTTACCAGAAATAACCCCCGAGCCAGAATTTTTGACCGGGGAAACCTACATAAGCAGGTGGAATCCCTTTGGCTTGGATTTTTGCTCTCAACCTAATGTGGAGCAAATGTGTGGCTCCTCAAATATCAACTGCACAACAGTTTTCTACTGAAAAATCTACATTATTGTGAAGAAGGCTCCAACGACCATCAAACACAGTAAATATCTCACGTCAATTTTGTAAGAACCTGAAAAAAAAAAAGGGCAATACTTCGTGTCAACCACAGCCACAAGTGATGGACGTACATATGACACTACACATAAAAATTAAGAAAATATTAAATAGATAGCGCACGTTGAGTTAAATGAGAGAGCACAACTTTTACATTTTTTCCCACCGAAAATTAGAGGTGTCATTCAAGCCAAGCCGAAGCACTTCGTGTTTGAGCTCGTACTCGTTTAATAAATGAGCCGACTCGGCTCATTTAAGTTTGAGAATGCTCGGCCAAGCTCAACTTATCTATCTAACAAATTCAAAATTGTAAAAGAGTTTTTTAGGAACACGATTTGCGTGTCCACAGACATGCCCGACTCGGCTATTTGCTCGAAACCTATAAATAATTTTACAAACGAGTTCAGCTCGAGTTATATAATAAACGATTAAATTATGCAAACTCGGAAGCAGATGTCCATTTTCCAGAACAGTAAATCCATTCGTAGACAAAATCTAACAACCCTTTTTCTTTATGTTTTCTTGAAATGTTAGCAGGGGCTCCCTTAAAGTAGTTCTCTTTAAGTTCTCAGACATTTTAGTAGCTGAAAAAAGGTTAGTATGTTGGAATATCACTTGTGAGTTGTCCCACATATATTTTATAAGGATAATGAGACTAGTATAAACCTAGTGGGGTACTCCTCCCATCACCAATTGGTTTTGGGATAGAACCTCACCAAGGTGCAACTAGGCTCCCAGGCTCCCTCTTATGGTGCGCTTCACTGTGTGGGACCGCACCCTCTTCCCCCGATTATATAATTCTAATATAGTCATTATAACCTTAAGCATCTTATGTTGTTAAAAATATCCAATGATTTATGATTGAAGACTTTTTATAGTATCACATACCAAAGCTTTTCAATAACTGCAGCAATCTAAAAAGAAAATGAAAAAAAAAAATACAATAAAAAAAACTTACAGCTTTGCCCAGAAGCTGCTGCTGGAAGGGCAGGAATCTTGACGGCTGCAGTTGCAATTGGAGAATGTTATATTCAATAGTAGAAATAACATAAACAATGAGAGAGAGGAAAAAAAAAAAAAATCTTGGATAAGTTACAAATTCAATGTGCTTACATTTGTTGCATGATGAAGATGGCAACTGAGTGGTTGCAGGCCAAGGAGCTGGGATATTATCGTTCAAATCACAGAGGAAGCTCACCCCTGCAGATTTGTCGAACACGACATCTGATGGCAAGCTCGGAAGAAGGCATCCTGATTCTAATCTCCCAAAAACACAAACAGACAACATCAAATGAGACGGTACAGGCCCATAAACCCAGTAAATTCAGAGATAAAGAGAAAAAAACTTGGTCAAACATTTCAAGTTGAGTGCTTGAGACATTTGTTGAAGATGGTTGCAGTTTGTTGAAGATAATCTGGGTTGCCATGGCAGTTATTACTGTTGCAGCTCACAAGTCTCATTTATTAGCTCAAAGTCGCAGCACGTTTCTTTTATTTCTGTTGCCATTTTATTTTAGCTGTTTAAGTTCAAACGGTGTCGTTCTGGACATGTAAAACGACACCGTTTTATTCATTTTCTGTTTTGTCCTTTTGCATGGATTTTGCTGTATATATATTCAGCGTGTACGTACAATTCGAGTTGATCGGATATTTTGCGCTAAGAACACTGAATTTACTCTGAAATTGATCTGTGAGATAAAATACAAAATGCTTGTGTACGAAGATGCTGAGGGGTGGAAGGAAAATACAATTGAAAGAAAGGATTCTAAGGACAGTGATCTGTCATTTGTGGTCCAACAACTGCAAGAGTTAACACAATATATAAAAGGAAAGGAGAACATGGAGAATAAGACGGATTATGCACAATTGATGAGTTATTGCTGGAAGAAAGGAGGACGATGAGATGCATTTTGCTTTAACTATAGTTGAAAATATGGATCCAATAGATTGGATAATTGGATAATATATACAGGAGCTAGTAGGCACATGCGTGGAGATTTGAAATTGATGAAATGCATTTTCTACATGAAGGATCCTGTGACAATTTGTTCAAATGATGGAACTTATAAGAAGGTTGACACTGGTGGAATGGTTACCATAAATAGCAAATTGACCCTCCAGAATGTTTTATATGTGCTGGATTTCAAATATAATTTGCTATCAGTTAGCCAACTATGCTTGGATGAAAAAGTGTAATGTTCATTTTGTGCAACATCTTGCTACTTACAACATTGTGAGAGTGGAGAATTGATAGGGAAGGGACATGAGTGGGGAGTCTATATGTGTTAGAATAGAGAGTGTGAAGGAGATGAAGTTACAATGGGCTGCAATTTATCTTTTGAGTTTTGGCCTTTGTGCTTTGGGCATGCAAGTTTTACAACTATGAAGCATCTTGCTTTTGTGAAGTGAAGGGAAAATATACAATTAATGATGAAAAAAAGGTACAATCTTGTGAAATATGTTTCAAAGCAAAGCAACATAGGCTGTCATTTCAGCACAGCTCCATACATTCTATACTAGATGCTTTGAAATGTTGCAGGTGCATATATGGGGTCCTTGTAAAGAGGAGGCTTTAACTGGTACACGTTTTTTCTTGACTTTGGTGGATGATTATAGTAGAGGTAATTGGGTTTCCTTGATGGCAAACAAATCACAAACAGCCAAGCTATTGAGCAGTTATATTCAAATGATTAAGACTCAATTTGAAACAGTAGTTAAAAAGGTGAGAATAGACAATGGTAGAGAGGAAAAGAGCTGCAATTTTTCTGTCAAGGAAAGGGGATAGGTCATGAAACTAGCTTTGTTTATACACCACAACAAAGGTGTGGTGGAAAGGAAGCATATACAATTGCTTGAGATAGGAAGAGCTTTAATCTTTCAAGCTCAATCGCCAATGTCTTTCTGGCCTTTTTCGATCTTGACTGCAGTTGTCATCATAAATAGGTTGCTTAGTGCTATCTTAAATTGGAAGTCACCTCTTGAGAGAGTGTATGTGTGGCAAAGTGATTATATTTGTGGTGGTACACAAACTTTACAGTCACCTAAAGAGGTGTATCCAATCAACTCATTTCCTTAGACAGTGCATCAGAATCAGGAGTTTGTTGCAAATATCTAGTGGAAAAGGAGCCAACTCACTATAAGCAAGCGTTTTACATCCATCATGGGAATAGGCTATGCAAAAGTAACTAGATGCTTTGTAAGAGAACATATCTTGGAGTTGACAAATTGCCAACATGCCAACATGTAAGAAAGCAATTGAGTCTAAATGAGTTTAAAAAATTAAGAGAAAAGTTGATGGATCAGTGGAGAGGTATAAGACTAGACTTGTGGCTAAGGGCTACAACCAGATTGAGGGTGTTAACTACTTTGATATTTTTTCACCGGTGGCAAGATTGGTCACAGGTGGTTTCTTATTGCTATTGCTATTCATAAAGGTTGGTCATTGCATCAATTGAATGTCAATAACGCTTTTCTCCATGGTAAGCTCACAGAGGAAGTGTATATGCCACCACCTCAAGGGTATGACAGCCTCTCTTGGATAAGTGTGTAGGCTCATCAAGAGTCTCTATTCTCTATGGCCTTAAACAGGTTTCAAGAGAATGGAATCATGAATTGTGCAAAAAACAGCACCGTTATTACCGTTGCAGCTCACAAGTCTCATTTTTTAGCTTAAAGTTGCAGCACGTTTCTTTTATTTTTGTTGGCGTTATACTTAAGCTGTTTAAGTTCAAACGGTGTCGTTTTGGACATGTAAAACGGCACCGTTTTATTCATTTTCTGTTTTGTCCTTTGGCATGCATTTTGTTGTATATATATGCAACGTGTATGTACATTTCGGGTTGACCGGATATTTTGAGCTAAGAACACTGAATTTACTCTGAAATTGATCTGTGAGATAAAATACAAAATGCTTGTGTTTCAACCATATTCTTAGTTTGCAGGATATTACAAGTTTTGCTCAAGAGAAAATTATAAGAAAATTATAAGAGTTGTGCAATGGTGCATCTGCAAAACAGTATGGCATTTCTGAATGAAAAGGTTAAAAAACTTAGAGGTAGTAATAACTATGATTAATCTGGCACTAATGTTAAGAAACTACTGTATGCAAGCAAAAAACTACGGAAACTTACCCTGAGTACCAACTGGAGAAGACGAGTCACGGCCAGAGGAACATATCAGCACGAAAAAAGTAAACCTTTCAGCATTAGTATCAGATCAGTGAATACTTTCCACACCTTGAAAATACTCGTAAAATGCGAAAAGACCATACTGACCTTGGAGGGAGAAGTCCTTGAGGCTAATACGACACTGAGTGTAGACATTTTCGGTAATATTTGCTCTCCGCAGTTTCACTCCGAGCGATGCAGCACAATTCAAGGCCTGCAAGTTCGTGACAAAGCTCTGCCTTTGCAGGTGAGTAACATAGCTATCGACTGAACTGCAACATGCTGATTGGTTGTTTCTCCCAGGATCACACCCTTCTATGACATGCCTTATGCTCGGAAAATTCAGAGGACAAACTGAGGTAGCAAATCAAACACGAGAAAAAAGAAGTTAAATTCCAACTAAGTTACATAAATCAACACCAATAAACGAAACACGATTAGTATCCTAAATAAAAAACAGATCACAAGAAATAAAATCTTGATTTAAAAAAGCTGACTTTCTTGGTACTACCCCCAAGTTTTTTTGTTAATATTTTTTATTCAAAAACCCATAAGAAATCTGTATTCACAGCTCACCTTTATTAATTCTGCAATTAGACAGTCCCCGAAGAACCTCCTTCGCCCCATTAACCTCAAGCTTGCTCCCGAGCCACCGGAGCACGATGCTCTTACAGTCGCTAACCCGAGTCGACAGGTCAGCCAGTGCATGGGACCCACCATCCACTTTCAGCAAAGTATACGCTTTCTGGGCCAGCTTTCTAGAAGCATCCAGAACCGCATTCTGGCAGACCTGCTCACAGCACTCATTCACGCTGTCAATCTTTCCGCAAGCAGCCAGGAGGCTCGATGAGTCCACAGTGCCCTCAAACTCGGCCACGTCAGCGACAGGGCACGAGCCTTGGGTGAGATTCGAGGCCCGAACAGAACATATTCGAGACAGGTCCTCGTTGGCTCCCTGGCCCGCGAGGGCCCGTTCGAAGTCCGAGAGGCAGTGGGCCGCGGTTGACCCGTTGAGGGCGAGGGAGCCCGTTTTCTTGCTCGACTGGCCCATGAGGATTGCCAGGGTGGCGTCTACCTGGGGGCAGCAGACCACGTTGGCGAGGAGAGGGGCAAATGCGGCCATGCAATTGGTGGACGTGACAGTCATCATGTTCGAGAGGGCTGTGAAGTTCAGTGGGCAGTGTCCTGTAATTTTGAAGATTAGCATTCTTGAGTTCAGAATTTTAAGAAGCAAAAAGGGGGGAAGAAGTGGCGATTATGAATAATTTCTTGAGTATTTTGCGGTAGTCACAGAAAATCACCTTGATGCTCGTATATTGCTGTCGAAGGGGAAAAATAGAAAAAACCCAGTCATCTTTATCATTTTAACTTAGTTGACTTGGAACTCTAGGGATGTTTTGTAAGACTTTATGTGGCCATTTAATTATTTTTCTAATATAACCATGGGGTTTATGAGTAGATTTGGAGATAGAAAGGTTTGTAACACTTTAAGGGGGCATTTATTACTTTTCCAAGACATCTGAGGTGGTTTTGCATGTATCCCTGAAAATTAAGTATGAAGTTTGTAAATATGCGTGAGTGCGAGAGACAAACCGGATAATCGAGGCACTGTGCTGTTTGTGAATGGCGTCAATGGAGATGGTGCAAGAAGAGGAAGAAAGGGCTGAGGTGCTGCAGTTGGGGACGTGTAAGGTAGAAGTTCATCTGCTTTTCTAACTGCGAACATAGAATTTTTGTAATAACCCGGCACGGATTGGGAAGACACATGCATACCTGTACAAGCGGTAAATATACAAAAACAGAAGATTGTCAATTAGAATGATTTCAATAGCATCTTTGTACCAAAAAAAAAAAGAATGATTTCAATAGATACAGTAGTTCAAAGTAAACTATACAGTAACATAACAAAACTATTACAACCGCGAGGCTTTCAAATACGACAAAATATGCATATACATACAACAACTTAATTTGGTCAGCTCAAAATCTGATGCAAAATTGCTGCTAGGCAAAATGTTATAAAACAATTAATTAGCCCACTATGCCAGCTGGAAGTGACTTCTAATTGAAATTACCATGGTACCTTTTCAAAGCTTATAAATCACTTATATATCAAGCATTCAGCATTTCAAAGTAAACTACACAGCAACATAAACAAAATTATTACAACTGTGAGGCTTTCAAATACGACGACATGTGCGGGATTTTTCGCCCCAAAAGTCTCAATAACCACAATGCCATAAGATTTCCCTATCTCTTCCCAATTAATTACCAAGGTGAAAAACAAAAATAATTGTTTTTAAAGGTGATATTTACCCATGGGGAAAAGAAAATTGCTATAGCTAACTAATGCCATGGCCTGGAATCCAATTTAATCCTCTTTCTTTCGCAGATCGACAATGCAAGTACGAGACTCAGAAAAGGACTGGTAATTCAAGAAATTCCTAATTCAAAACCCTAATCTCCCAGAAACACAATTCATGTGATCAATTATGCAAAAAAGGAGCTGCGTATAGAATATACATGAATGAAAAGAATTCTGCAAGTAACCTCACAACATAAATACAGTAAAATTTCTCATTTGCATTTTAAGAGCTGAGATAAAAAAATGCAGCCATTCACACTACAAAAATAACTAAAACCAAAGCAAAACAATAACTTCTGCCCCTGAGCACAGCATTCTAAGACAATTAACCTTGGGAAGCTAAATTTCCTCAAACACCACACTCATCAAAACAAACCCAGCTGATTTCTTGAAAAGAATATACAGAACACTTTCAGTATGGGTAAGAAAAATGGGAAAAATAAGACAACATATGACATAACCAACAGATCATTCGAAATATAAACAAAAATCTGTATCAACAAAAAGCTAAAATATGCTCACAGAGAAGAAGAATCACAGCAAACAGATGAGAACTTCGAGCCAGCCCCCTCATTCCTAATTTTACGGTTTTGTCGCCAGCCCCAATTTCAATGAAATAGACAAACAATGTACGCGAAGGAAAAAAGGGCACTGGTTCTTTTATGATAAAGATTGAAACTTTGAACTCAAAATAGAGAGAGAACAAGAAAAAGAAAAGAATTGGGAGGGAAATAAACTGGGAAAATAAAAGAGATGCGTCTGGTTAAAGCAGAGGAGGGGTTGGGGGCAGCCATGAATGAGCTGCATAAGTGAGGTGGGGACAAAAGCAATAATCAAGAATAGCTGTACAGAAATTGTGAAGCGGCCCCACTTTAAAATTTATACAAAAAAGGAAAAAAAGATGGACCAAAAGAAATTACTGGTGGCTGATGAGTACTGAGTGATTACTGGTGTGTGAACTCAGATGAGCTGCGAGGCTGCAACCACCGCCTAGAGAGTAAAGGGTCATGCCGCCATTAAAGGCCGTGGGCTGCCTTTTTTCTATCTGTCTCCGTGTGTGGACAGTTGACTCGCATGCGCGGCACGTGATTCGCGCACTTGATGGAGTTTGATAATTATATTATTATTATGTTATTATTAATCTTATCTCGAAATGATTTTTCCAATTTGCTTTTGAGGAAAAAATGAAAAAGAAAAAATGCCGCATGTTCTTGCCGTAAGTTTGTAAAATCTTTCAGCGAAGTAAGATTCGAATAAAAGTTTAATCAAAATAAGGAGTTATTTTTAAAATTAAATCTAACACTAAAACTGCATTGCAAAATTACGAAGTCAGGAAACACAAAGTTCAAGAGTCATTCAGTTAGGGATGAGCACGAATTGAACCGAGCTATTCGATGCGGTTCGAGGCGATTTTTTAACAATTCGGTTAACGGTGTGGTTTGAATTTTGAAAAACCGCAAATATTTCGGTGCGTGCGGTTCAGTTTTCTGTTCGAATGGTGCATTTTAACCGAACCGCACCGAATATTATAAAGTATCACTTTATTTTTACACTTTTACTTACATTACATATACGATATACACAGGCTGCGACTTTGTGAGTAAAAATTTAGACACAACATCACATAAATGTTTACATTTAAAACTTAAAATTAAAAATTTGTATTGTTTGAACATTAATTTGTTGTTATCCTTTTTAATTTCGATTAATCGAAAAATCGCACTGAATCGAACTGAAATTTTCGGTTCAGTTTTTCCTTTTATTATGGTACGGTTCGGTGTAGAAATCCTAAATTCGGTTTTCGGTTTTTCTCGGTGCGGTTCAGTAAGGCTCATCCCTAGATTCAGAGGCTATGTTATCATTTAAGGAGAAAAATGGTTATAACAAATGAATCTATAGTTTTTCTCTTATGTTTTTTCAAGATGGCATTTTAAATGCAAGTATGTCAATTTGGTGGAAAAAATATACCAAACATTATATTTAGACAATGAAATATGTCAATTTGTAAAAATTGTTGAAACATAACAAGCTAAGAATGTTGATTAAAAAAGTCTTTTTAAACTTAAAATAGAAAATTCTTTTGATTCATGCATTTTCTATCGTTTATTTAATTTATATACTCGTATTGAATACTGTTGAAAATAAATGAAAGGGTTTGATCGCATCGAAGTCGATTATTGGTATTTTTTATGAGGTTGTGCTAGAATAAGGAACCAAATATGACACAATTATTTTTTTCATCAAATAAAATTAAACAGAAAACTCTAGATAAACATGATTCAAGTGATGAAGAACACCACTACATACATAACAACATGAATTAATCGGATCATGTTCACATACAAATTCAGAAGCTTAATGAAATTCCAATAATCTCAAAAACTCTTTTTTTGGACAAGACTATTGAACATCATTGGTTGTCAATACTCTTTTTTCTTTCTTATATCGAACAACTTCATTTAAAGAAAACTCGAGCAAAAGGATAATAGGGTGATCAACTGATTACAAAACGTCACTACTCTAATTCAACATAATAGTGTTTGGATCCACATTCAACCTATATATGCTCATCACTTTTGGGCCGATGATGCGAACGTCCAATGTTTTATTGGGCTTTGCTCGGAATTAGGCGCTTAATTGATAATGGATCGTGTTCCCTTCTTAATTGTGTGGGCTTTCAGGTGATGTCTTTATGACATATTCAACAAGCCTTATACCAGGAGCAAATATAGCCACTTAATTAATTTTACCAAGGAGATAACCATAACCATTCTTAAATAGAATATCCATCCACGTGAGAATAAAAATGAGACTAATTATTCATCATGCAATGATGCACATATAATTTATGGATATGTAATCATATAGAGCACAACATCATAAGAAACCCCTACTTTGGGCCGTGACTTTGTTCGACTCGCTTTTTATTGCCTTTAATTAATTTGTTAACAATTACGAACCTCGCTTTGATTATTACTTTTATCTACGCATCAAACAGTTAAAAAAACTGGAGGAATAATGTCCCCCATATATAAATCATTACCGCTTAATTAACCTATTTTTGTGCATTTTGTTTTCTGAAACAATCTCTTAATTGTCCTTTATTAGCTCCATACATTTTAAACTCAAAAGCAAAGAAAGATGAGTTTTAGGAACTCTGGACCCCAATTTGCAAATAATGCATAAAATGGGAGGAGAAATGAAAATAAAAACATTGGGTTTGTGGGCAATAAATGGATGGGTGTACTCACACATCTTTTTCTTGAAAAAGGTAAGCAAGAAGGTATCCACCTCTCAATATGCTTGTTTTCCTACAGTTCTCAATCTCATTATATTTTAACTCCATCTGCCCACTTTCTCTCCGTGTCCCCACCATAATTCACTTGAATCATTTTTTCTTTTCTTTTTTTTTTTTCCTTTTTCTTTTCATTTGAGATTTATATTTCATTATTTCACCTTTTTATTTCAATAAATAAAGTTGATATGTAATGGTTATTAATTCACTTTTGTTGTGAACTTCTTAGTAGTAACAACAAAATGCATGACTAATCTTTGTTCTCTCTATTGGTGCTATCCACCAAGTTCAATACATAGCTACCAATATTGCTTTTTAAATGATGTAATTTAATTACGACGGATTAAAACTATAGTTATATTAATGAAAATAAGGTGGATTAATCAATTTGTGGGCTAGCATTAATGAACTTTGTGATAGTGAGTCCAATATATATAAAAAAAACACATTAATTGACAAGATAATTAAGTCTACACATTTTGTCCTCAAAGAACCTCCCGTATGAGTCAAATAAACAATTCAAGTGTATTCATTGTTATTACTATTATTTATCTCCTCAATTCTCTTAATATTTTCAGCAAAACATAAGAAAATCAATAAAGGTCATATACCTTTATTATTTATTAACTGTAGGAGAAAGATTTCACAGTTACCTAGGATCACTGTGCACAAGCAATATTTGGGTCCACTCGACGTACGAGCTAGAAGTGTGGGTTGTTAACTTATTTGTGTTTGTTGAATTTTAATAACTAATTTAGATGACTTTATTAGACACGTATATTCTCCAATTATTATCACAGACAAATATGACATACACATTACTATAATTTTAAGGATAATATTATTATTCATCTCTAATTGTTGCTTGCTTACAACTTGTTTGGCATATATGATATGTTTTGAAGGAAAATAAAAAATAAAAAAAAAATGTGTTGATGACTTCAACTTATTTAAGAAAATAGTTACTAAGCATCTTTTAAAATTTTGTGTCTTCGCGTGCAACTTGATTCAAATTCGAGTTTTAAATATATGCAATGATCATTTTATTAACAACAATAAAAATATCGAGTGGTTTACTTTTATACGGCACAATAGCATACTTGAACCGGAATTCAGACCCAAGTTTCAACTTGCAACCATAATACAGGGTCGGATAGTTTTTTTTTCCATCATCCAAAAATTAGAATTAAGTACAATTTAATCTCCCCTTTGACATTTTTCAATGCAATTAATTAAATTAACCATGAATAAAATTATCGCAATGGAAGTCAATTACTCCTTTTGACCTTCTTTTTTGGGGCATGACACAAGTCAATACAAACCTAATCAAAACTCATTGTACCACAAAAGTAACTTCGCAAGCTCATAAATTATGTATACTAAGATGGAACAGCACGAAATTAAAATATCCCACAAAAGGCCAAATTATTACAATCAACCAAGTAAAGAATAGTCACTTTCTTATGCACACACATATAATGTGTGCACGGGCCCTGCAGTTGATAATCATAAGTGTTTTTATTTTTTCTTGCTTTTTCACT